AGGGGGAACGTGCAGATCTGTCCTCGCAGAGGAGGGAGAGCTTGTGCCTTAATAAAAATTAGTCTTAAAGGTGCCACTGGACTGTTTTGGTCCAGGGGGCCGGGGGAGGGAGCTCTGCAACTTACCTGGCTGCTTCCTGCTCTGACTGAGGACTGCTGGGAGCAGGGGGTGGGGGGTGGGGCTTGTTGCATGTGCCCGCCCCCTGGGCTCTTTACTGCTGGAGCTCCGCTCCTGTGCGCTCCTGCAAGAAATGACCCTTGAGTCTAAGATTGCTGTGTGGGGAAAGGCAATGGCGAAGCATCTCTGCTCATCTCCTGCCTTGAAAACCCCACGGTGCTGGGGTTGCGACTTGACAGCACACACTTATGGTGTGTTGAGTGCCATCAGGTCGTTTCTGGCAACCCTATGAATTAATGTCCTCCAAAACATCCTATTGGTAACAGCCTTGCTCAGGTCTTGCAAACCGATGACGATGACGATGGTGGTGATGACGATGGTGGTGGTGGTGGTGGTGGTGATGATGATGATGATGATGATGATGATGGTGATGATGATGGTGATGGTGATGGTGATGATATTGCCTAATGTGCAAACCATTTTTGTCCGTGCTTAAGATTAACAAACTTTATTGTAGCATAAGCTTTCGAGAAACACAACTCTCTTCGTCAGATGCATGGAGGCCTCCATGCATCTGACGAAGAGAGCTGTGTTTCTCGAAAGCTTATGCTACAATAAAGTTTGTTAGTCTTAAAGGTGCTACTGGGCTTTTTACTACTCTGCAGCAACAGACTAACACAGCTAACTCCTCTGGATCTTGTCCATGCTTGAATGAATGACGTTAGCCTCTTGATTTATTCCTTCTAGGACAGGGGTCTTTAATTTCTTCTGACCCTGAAACCTTTTAACCCTCCCCACCAGCATGGGATCCACTGAGCTGCAAGCCCATGATATCACAGTCATGTGACAGGAAGAAGGGGAGCCAAAGCCTCACTAATGTCAAGGCCAGGACTGTGGGCCAACAGACTGAGAGAGCCAGGAAACAGAAGCCAAGATTCAGGAGGTGTACCAAAGCAAGGAACAAACCATGGAGAAGCCCTCTCCACTGCTGCGTGATCCCACCTCTGTTGGTGCAAAGAGAGGTAGGAGACATGGAGCTCCTCAAGTATATGTTCTAGCAGCAAGCCCTTCCGAAAACCAGGTCCAAGGGGGCTTATAGCCCAGCAAGTGGAGCTCCACAACCCACATGAGCTTCCAGATTCACAGATTAAAGACTTCTGCTAGGTGATATGGAGCCCTTCAACCAGACCAAGGTCACCGAGTTCCTCATCATGGGCTTCCCAAAGTTGCAACACTTCGACAAGCCCCTCTTCTTCTTGCTCCTCTTCATCTACCTCTTCACCATTGTCGGCAACCTGCTGATTTTCATCATCATCCGCACCGACTCCCGGCTCCACACGCCCATGTACTTTTTCGTCAGCGTCCTGTCCTTCTTGGAGGTCTGGTACACGGCAAGCACCATTCCCAAGATGCTCTCGAACTTACTGAGCCAGAGGAAGACCATCTCCTTCCCTGGATGCCTCGTGCAAATCTATTTCTTTCATTCTCTGGGAGCCACCGAGTGCTACCTGCTCACGGCCATGGCGTACGACAGGTACCTGGCCATCTGCCACCCACTGCGCTACCCGTCCATCATGACCACCCAGTTGTGCGTCAAACTAGCCGCCAGCTGTTGGATCTGCGGCTTGCTAGGCCCCATGGCTGAGATCATCTTGGTCTCCAAGCTGCCCTACTGCGGGCCCAACAAAATCGAACACATCTTCTGCGACTTCCCACCGCTCCTGAGCTTGGCCTGTACCGACACCTCGGTCAACGTGCTCGTCGATTTCGTCATCAATGCTTGCAAAATCCTGGCCACCTTCTTCCTGATCTTGTTGTCTTACTTGTGGATTATCAGAGCCATACTTCGAATCCGCACAGCCGCTGGAAGGAGGAAAGCCTTCTCCACGTGCGCCGCACACCTCACGGTGGTGGTGATCTTCTACGGGAGCATTCTGTTCATGTATGTCCGGCTGACGAAAAGTTATTCCTTGGATTATGACAGAGCGTTGGCCGTCGTCTACAGCATCGTGACCCCTTTCCTCAACCCGATTATCTACAGCCTGAGAAACAAAGAAATCAAAGTGGCCTTAAAAAGGAGGTTTATGTCCATGACTAGGGAAGTAGAATAGCCCAGGGTAATCAGAAACTAAGGACACACCCAGGGCTCCATCTCTGCCCCTATTCCAGTAAAAAAAAGATTGCACGCCCCCTACTGAAGATACCGTGTGTATGCGGCCCGGATTAAATGAATTTAGAGTTCAGTGGCGCCAGTATTGATGTAGATTGTTTATAAATACTTGTTTTAATGTTTTAACTGATTATTTATTATTGTGTTGTGCGGCTGAATGGCCTAACTGTTGTTGTGATCCATCCTGAGCCCGTTCACGGGGAGGGCGGAATACAAATTTAAATAATAAAAATTTTTAAGAGGAGGAGACTGGATTTATACCCCGCCCTTCACTACCCGAAGGAGTCTCAGAGCGGCTTACAATCTCCTTTCCCTTCCCCTCCCCACAACAGACACCCTGTAAGGTAGGTGGGACTGAGAGAGCTCTGACTGAGAACTGTTCTTTAGAGAACAGCTCTGAGAGAACTGTGGCTTGCCCAAGGACACCTTGCAGCTCCATGTGGAGGAGGGGGGAATCAAACCTGGTTCTCCCAGATTAGAGTCCGTGCTCCAAACCACTACACTAAACTGGCTCATTTCAAACCCTTTGAAATACAGCCTGTTACTGGTCATGCTGGGAGTATTTTATCCCTCATATTATTAGACCTTCATGTTAAGAAGATCAGTTTGAGAGGGGGTAGATAATGACTTAAGCTAGGGGCAGGAGGGTCCCTCTGCTGAATTCAGCACTGTAGGTAACTGTCGCCTCCCTTGTTTCAAATGAACAAGAGCAGAATATCCTGTGCAAACATATGCAAACATGCTGCTTTGCAGGACTCCAGCCAGACCCCCGTTCGGGCACGATGATTGCAAGAGAGTTCTTTGTATGAAGAAGAGATCCTGGTCTAAGCGGGCAAAAGCTTCCGAGCTTAAAGATAACGGGTCGTCTTCATCTTATCTGATACAAACAGGGCTATTTTTGGGCAGGAACGGCTGGCTCCCAAGTTGGCCACACCCAGCAGGAACTCATTAACATAACAGACCACACCCAACAGCAGAAACTCATTAGGATTGGCTACATTGGGGTGTCTGGCCTAACATGCAAAGGGTTCCTGCTACCAAAAAAAGCCCTGGGTTTTGACAAGGTAAACAAAATAAGAAGCAAAAGGTGGGTGTGGCTGGATGACCACACTTCTGGCAACATGAGGGTGTGGCCTAATATGTTAATATGATGTGTGGTCAGGGGTGTGGCCTAATATGCTAATGAGTTTCTGCTGTTGGGTGTGGCCTATTATGTTAATGAGTTCCTGCTGGGCTTTTTCTACAAAAAAAGCCCTGGGTACAAATACTTCATTAGTGCTCAGACACATATTTAAAAAAACAGGGCTTAGTGTGAGGGTTCCAGACCTTTTTGTTTGGATTGCTGACTCCAGCTTGGGACACTCCTAGAGATTTAGGGGTGCAGCCAGGGTTTAGGGCATGGAGGCACCTCAAAAGAGGCAATGCCATACACCAGGCTTCTGAGATTTCGCCCAGCATGGCCACAATCCTTGTGGTTTTAAAGCCAAGAAACTTGCCTTCATCGTGGATTGTTTCCCAAATGAAATGCAAGATAGGGTTGCCGGCTCCAGGTTAGGAAATGCCTGGATACTTGAGGGGTGGGGCCCAGGGAGGGTGGAGTTTAGGGAGAGGAGGGACCTCAGCAGGGTTCAATGCCAGACAGTCCACCTTCTGATGGTGTCGTTTTCTCCAGGGGAACTAATCTGGAAGTCAGTTGTACTTCTGAGAGATCTCCAGCCCCCCCCCCCCAACGGGAGGCCGGCAAGCCTATCTGGGGTATTTAAGTGGCCCCTGGCTTTTAAGTGCCAAATGAAAGCATCTTTTGTTCTCTCAGACATTTGGACGGAGCTATTTTTGTACCCTCTGCTGCTGTTTTGATCTGGCTCGGTGTCTTTTAACTGCTCTGTTTCAGTCATAAATAGGTACAAAAATTTCCTTTCACATTCTGTTTACAGTTTTGGGCTTTTGATCACTGCCTTGGAGACTTTGTTAACTGGAAGGGTTGGATGGAGTCGTTTCCCTCCGTCAAATAACAAATTCTGCTAGGACCAATGAAAGCGTCACCAATCCTGGCTCAACCCTGTCCCCAAACTTACATTCTACACTACACATGAGTTCACCCCTGTAATTATCCCGGGGTATTTTTACATTCTACACTACACGCGAGTTCACCCCTGTAATTATCCCGGGGTATTTTTACATTCTACACTACACGCGAGTTCACCCCTGTAATTGTCTCGGGGTATTTTTACATTCTACACTACACGCGAGTTCACCCCTGTAATTATCCCGGGGTATTCTACATTACACTCGAGTTCATCCCTGTAATTATCCCGGGGTATTTTTTGTTTCCACATTACATTGAGGTCACCCCGGTTTCGCCCCACACTTGTCCCGGGATAAACAGATGCTGTTATAACCAGGGATAAATGCAAGGTATTGTGTCCCAAATTGAGCTCTGATAAAACCAGGGATGAGATCCAAGTGTGGAAGAGACCCAAAGGACCAATATCATAAAGGGCTCTATCTTCTCATTAGCCAAAATCCATGCTGCAGTAAAGACTTGACTACTGTAATTGATTCTATGTGGGGCTGCCCTCGAAGACATACAAGGGGGGAAATCCCATTGGTACAGCAAGGCAAGAGACGCTCAGAGATGGTTTGCCATCTCGCACGTGGGGGTGGAAAGTTCCATCAAGTCACAGCCAACTCATGGGTGACCCCTGGTGGGGTTTTCAAGGCAAGAGACGTTCAGAGGTGGTTGCCATTGCCTGCCTCTGCATAGCGGACTTCCCTAGTAATCTCCCATCCAAGTACTAACCAGGGCTGACCCTGCTTAGCTTCCAAGATTGGGCTCATCCAGGTCAGTGCCGCTGCACGGGGATGCCAGCCTCCAGTCTGAGGATCCATCAGAATTGCAGTTCATCTCCAGGCTACAGAGATCAGTTCCCCTGGAGAAAATGGCTGCTTTGGAGGGTGGCCTCAGTGGCATTGTCGTTGGAGTGTTGGGGGGGGTGCTACATTAGTGTATAGGTGTTATCTCCTTGAATGGGGTGCCTCTCTTTGTCTTAACCTGGGAGTTGCCCTTTGACCCTTCCCCTCTCTCTCACTTTGTCCTCTCCCTCTCGCACATGGCCTTCCATGAAGACATACGTCTCTGCAGGTCTCTCCTGTTGAGACAATGCCCCCCTACTCCGACACACAGGATGCCGGATTACCCGGCCACTTGTGACAGGGAAAGTACTTCTTAGATTAGGCTTCTTTCTCTCCTTTTGGCTGTAACATGAATGTGAACTGGATCTACTTGAATGAATGTTACGTTTACCTTTTTTGCAACATACTTCTTGGGAGGTGTATTTACTGCACTCAGTATCATGCTTCCATGACTGGGAAAATGCTGCTGTATTAACCAGATATCCCAATAACTGTGCCGCGCCAAGGTCCCTGTCTCCCCAGGCTCCACCCGGAACTCTACAGGAGTTCCCCAGCCAGCCCTGTCTTCATGATGGCAGACAGAAGATGGAGGAGGCTCTCAGCCACAGTCATAAGAACATAAGAAGAGCTCATCTGGATAAGACCAATGGTCCATCTAGTGCAGCATCCTGTCTCACACAGTGGCCCCAAACAGTTCCCCTGGAAGGCCTACAAGAGGGCATAGAGGCCGAGGCCTTCGCCTCATAAGAACATCAGAAGAGCCCTGCTGGATCAGTCCAGTGGTCCATCTAGTCCAGCATCCTGTCTCACACAGTGGCCAGCCAATTCTTCTGGAGGGCCCACAACAGGGCATAGAGGCCGAGGCCTTCCCCTCATAAGAACGTAAAAAGAGCCCTGCTGGATCAGACCAGTGAGGGTCCATCTAGTCCAGCATCCTGTCTCACAGAGTGGCCTCAATCAGTTCCTCTGGAAAGCCAACAACAGAGCATAGAGGCTGAGACCTTCTCCAGATGTTGCCTCCTGCGATTCAGCGATTGCAATTCAGAGGCTTAGTGTTTCTGGATGTGGACGTTCCCCTCAGTCACCATGGCTAGTAGCCCTTGATAGGCTCATCCTCCATGAATCTATCTAATCCCCTTTTAAAGTCGGGTCCAAGGATGTCGCAAACATGCCCAGCTCTTATGAGTGCCAGCTCCAGATTGGGAAATTCCTGGAGATTTTGAGTGCAGCCTAGGAAGGGGGCTCAGCAAGGACGTGATGCCAGAGCATCTTCGGTCCAAAGCTGCCATTTCCCCCGGGGGAACTAATCTCGTGCCTTAAGATCCATTGTAATTCCAGAAGAACGCCAGTCCTCACCTGGAGGCTGCTAACAGTACCAGCATCATTAAAATCAATGGGCTAAAAGCATGCAACTATACTGTAAAGTTACTTAAGCGATCCTCTTTTGGTTTGTTTTTTTCTCATTTGCCACCTACTGAAAACGGCGTCTTTCCGCTCATGCAAATAATGAGGATTCAGGAACCTTGTAAACAGGGGTCCATTCTTTCAGCTCAAGTTGCTGCCGTAAACAAGCCCAACTTTTGTTAGTCAGCTTATTCATTCCAGCGTTATCTCAAAAAAAACCCTTAATTAACGACACCCTAATTGTTGGAGTCGGACGCCGCTTTCCAGTAATGAGCCCATAAAACTTTTGCTGTAGCCAAAAAAGATTTTGCGATAGCAAACTCCGGCCTCCTCGATGGCCGCCCGCAAAGATATCCAAGAGCAAAGTTCAAGATTTAATCTCCACCCCGTTATTCGGAAATTGCTTTGAGCACTAGCTTACCTAAGCATGTATTTTGCCAGTTTGCAAACAGGGAGGGGGCGGAAAAGCGAAATGAACACAGAAACCATCTGTAATGGATGAGCAGCCTTTTTGCTGTTTAGCTGTAATGTGCCGATTTTGCAAGGATCTTAACAGGCTCAAACGCCTTTTCCTGATGTAGGGTGGGTCACGTAATCCTCAAGCATTGGACCCCTAAATGACTGTTGAGTGCTTTGTCAAATACACCTCTGGGAGAGGTTCACAGAGAGGCCATTCATGTTGCAAGGAAAATTTCCCTGCCCAGTAAATGGTAATTCCTCCCTCCTTCCCCCCCCCCCATAACCATTGGTGCACACTGCCCAGGAGATCTATATGACATGTGCTGGATGCAAAACACAGAAGATTCCTGAGTTCAGTCAGGACAGAACATTTCCATTCAGCCTCCCACCCCCACCCCCACCCCACCCATGTTAGACCTAATTATGTTGAGCTGCCAAGCATCTGGTCAGAAAAGGAGGAGGAGGATATTAGATTTATACCCCTCCCTTCAGTCTCAAAGTGGCTTACTGTCTCCTTTCCTTTCCTCTCCCCACAACAGACATAGAGGTGAGGCTGAGAGAGCTCTGAGAGCTCTTGAAAGAACAGCTCTGAGAGAGCTGTGACTGACCCAAGGTCACCCAGCTGGCTGCATATGGAGAAATGGGGAATCAAACCCGGTTCTCCAGATTCGAGTCAGCTGCTCTTAACCACTACACCAAACTGGCTCTGCCCCAAGTTCCTGTTACCTGGAGTGGCAGTAGGGTAAAAGTTTTAAAAACTCATCCACATCCCAAGCATGATTATTTGAGAACACCCAGAAACAGCAGAGGTATCTCTAGGCATCGCCGGAAACTCTGTGTTAAAAAAAATTGTGTCACTCCTGTTCTGAGAAATGTTTCTTCGACTGACACTAGCGTTGAATGGGGCGGATTCATAAACCAAATAGCAACTTGGATTCTGTTTTTAAATAAGATCGGCGCTTGGATGTTTGATTTTTTTTAAGTTTGTGTATTTGAGTTTATTTATTCCTTGCTTTTCAGCTGCCAAGCTCGCAAGGCGACTAATAATCGACAGAAGCAGCAAATGAGGTCACAATAAAAAGGTTGGATCCAGTGTTCCCTCTAAGCTGAGCGTGAGCTAGCTCACAGCTTTTTAGCCTCCAGCTCACACATTTTTGTCTTAGCTCAGGAAGGAGGGCTCCAGAGCAAACTAATTTATGTGGCAGCCAAATCGCTGGCTCACAACTTTAATGCCGGTAGCTCACAAAGTAGAATTTTCGCTCACAAGACTCCACAGCTTAGAGGGAGCATTGGTTGGATCCTGTAGGTTGAATCTCATGGAGGATTTGTGCAGAGGGAAGGGAATTCCAGCTGCAACGAATGACTCCTCCTAGCCAGCATCTCCTTCCCCTGATGCAACCAGAAATGCTACTGTGGGGGAACAACAGAAACCCCCACCCCAGAATGGTATTGAGGGCTGGGTGTCTTGTAGCAGTGAAAATTGCCCCCCATTTCCACCAGCAAAAATGCTATGTAGGATCTAAGCCTGCGGATCCCTTCTACTAACAGTACGGCTTTGGCTACCCAGCTGAAAATATAAACTCCCACAACGAAAAAGCAGCAGCAAGGAGGAGCAGATACAATAACCCATTAAATGCTGGGGAGAACAGAAGAGTCTGAACTTGGGGGGGGAAAGTGCTGCCAAATGAATATTTTTGGAGTGGGTGCTCCCTAAATGGATCTCCCGAAATGGCCCAATCTACCACCCACCTGACCCCAAAAGTGGGGTCACCCAAGGCAGCAGCCTCCGGAAGACGGGGTGTGTGTGTGTGTGTGTGTGTTGACTTTTCCAGAGAGGTGGCTTGATTAGCCTGCCTCTGCGTCCCGCCACTGTTATTCCTTGGAGGTCGCCCTTCCCGGAAGACAATCTTAAAAAACAGGCACGCCAGCAGGAAGTTCCCTATTTGTTTATTTATTTGATTTCTAGTCCGCCTTTCCCACCGGGACTCCAGGCGGATTACAGAGTGAGTCAATACAGTTGACAGGATGGGGAACCGATAAGCAATGCAGTCGGATTCGGGCTGCAGGAAATCTGGAACCAACCAGAAACCTGGAAACAGAACTGAAATGAAAGCATAAGTATTAACACGAGACGTTCAACAGTGCAAAAATTTCATGGCAGGATTTTACTGACTGCAACGGGCAGTACAAACTATATACGCAGTAGTACAGACCACAGTCCAAGTATCTTTCTGAACCATCTGGGCACACCGCAGCCCTGCTGGAGGCGGATACTGCCACCAAGTTGTAGCCTACTTCGGGCGACCCCCTCATGGGGTTTTCAAGGCCAGAGACGTACAGAGGTGGTTTGCCACTGCCTGCCTTTGTGTAGTGACCCTGGACTTCTTTGGTGGTCTCCCATCCAAGTACTAACCAGGGCCGACCCTGCTTAGCTTCTGAGGTCTGACAAGATCAGGCTAGCCTGGGCCATCCAGGTCAGGGTACAGCCCTATACCTGTGCAAAGAGGAAGAGAAGAAGGAGACTGGATTTATACCGCACTCTTCACTACCCAAAGGAGTCTCAAAGCAGCTTACAATCTCCTTTCCCTTCCCTTCCCCGCAACAGACACCCTGTGAGGTAGGTGGGGCTGAGAGAGCTCTTTTGAGAACTGCTCTTGAGAGAACAGCTCTGAGAGAACTTGTGACTGACCCAAGGTCACACCAGCAGCTGCATCTGGAGGAGTGGGGGAATCAAACCCGGTTCTCCCGGTCCGCGCTCCTAACCACTACACCGAACAGGCTGTATTGAAAAACCCTCTTGAATAATTCAGTTTTGTATAGTTTGTGGGACGCCTCAGGCAAGCCGTTCCATAAGGTGGGCCGTTCGTAGGAGCAGCTGACAGGAAAGAGAGAAGACAAGATTCGAGGGAAGGAGAGTTCTAGAAGCAGAAGGACCTGAATGACACTTATGGACGAGGTCACAGAGGGTGGTTTTCCTGAGTAATTAATCAAACACCTGTTGTTTTCACAAAGCAGTGGCTGTCCATCTCTCAGAGATGACAGTCGTCACTTCCTACAAACAAGACAAGATTTATTCACTGGCCTGGCTGAGCCACAGGGATCAGCTGCAAACTTACATTCTGCTACTGTCAGACATGGATTGCCTCCGCAGAAAAGGGTCAAAGGTGGGTGAAGATCTGGATATTAACAGAGTCAAGAAGAAGGGAAGAGGAAGAAGGGATAGATATATACCCCGCCCTTCACTACCTGAAAGAGTCTCAGAGCGGCTTACAGTCTCCTTTCCCTTCCCCTCCCCACAACAGACACCCTGTGAGGTAGGTGGGGCTGAGAGAGCTCTCCTGAGAACTGCCCTTGAGAGAACAGCTCTGAAAGAACTT